CCCACCCTCCTGGAGATCGATGAACACACAAAGGAGATACAGAGGGTTGGCACCGATTCCTTCCTGGAGTTCAAAGACCAAACAAAGGCGATACGCAGGGCTGGCACCATGTCCTTTACCCCCGCTCCTCAACGACGCCCACCAAAATCACCGCGGAGACGCGCACCATCTCCCCCGTCCTCATCACCGCGCCTACGTCAACCACCTCCCCCCCCTGGCAGCATGTCCTCTACCCCCGCACCATCTCGCCCGTCTCCATCACCGTGCCTACGTCGACCACCTCCCCTCCCTTCGAGGGGGCATCTGCAGTCTCCGAAGCCTGATAAGGATGTGTGTGTACAAAACACAACAAACTCTTACTGATATGTGATGGGTCCAGGCTCAAGGGCGTATGGCACTCTCAACTCTTTCCAGGACATGTCGGGGCCCTGCCTGCCAGTAGCTTTGCCGATATCTGTGTTGATAGGTAATAGATTAAGAGCGGTGAATCATAGAAACAGGAAGCGCTCAAACGTTTGTGTGAGTGTATCTAATTTAGCAGTGATTCCATGTCAGCCACAGCTTGTTACAAAAAACATGACTGATAGTGTGTTTAACAAACTTAAACTAGCTTTATTAAATGTCAGGTCTTTGGCAGGAAAAACATTTTTAATCAATGATTTTATCACTGAGCACAATCTCGATTTTATGTTTTTAACAGAAACTTGGATTGAACAAAATAACAGTGCAGCTGTTCTTATCGAATCAACCCCTCCCAACTTTAGTTTTATGAGTCAGGAAAGAATGCATAAGAAAGGGGGTGGAGTTGCTATTCTGTTCAATGATTCCCTTCAATGCAGGAAGACATCGTATGGAAACTTTGATTCTTTTGAATATGTGGCCCTTCAGCTGAAATGCTCCTCTCGAGCTCTGTTCCTAAATATCTATAGACCACCCAAATACTGTGCAAGCTTTTTTGATGAATTTACTGAACTGCTGTCTATAGTGTGTATTGACTTTGACCGTCTAGTCATTGTTGGTGATTTTAACATCCATGTTGACAACCCCCAGGACAGAGGGGCTAAAGAACTATTATGTGTTCTTGATAGCTATGGACTGACTCAGCATGTGACGGAGCCCACGCACAATAAGGGGCACACTCTGGACTTAATTATCTCAAAGGGTGTGAATATCTCTAAGGTTGTGGTGACTGATGTTGCACTCTCTGACCATTCCTGTGTTTTCTTTGAGAGCTCTATTTCTGTTCACAAACATGTTCAAAAAGAGGTAACCACAAAGCGATATTTAACTGAAAACACTAGGGAAATGTTTACTCAGAATTTTTCTTCCACACTTGCCCCTGCCAACATCTCAGTAAATGAGCTAGTAGATCATTTTAATTCAAAAATTAAAAATGTTATAGATGCCATTGCTCCAACTAAGGTAAAGGAAGTGTCTGGCAAGAAAATATCTCCATGGAGAAAGGCCATGAGCGTGAAAACAGAAAAAAGAGAATGTCGAAAAGCTGAACGCAGGTGGCGAAAAACAAATCTCCAGGTTCACTTTGAAATCTATAAAGAGAGACTTGGCCTTTATAATTTGGAATTGAAAAACGCACGACAATCGTTCTTCTCTGACATCATTACCAAAAACAAAAACAACGCACGTGCCTTGTTTGCTACCGTCGACAGACTAACTAACCCCCCATTGTCAGTAGCCTCTGAATTTCTATCCACCAGGGCGTGCAATGATTTTGCCTCCTTTTTCACTGACAAAATTCAGAAAATCAGACAAGCAGTCAGTGCCTCTGCATCAGGAACAGCAAATGTGTTGTCCCTATCTCCACTTAACACCAATTCAGACATCATGACACAATTCCATCAGATTAATGATAAAAACCTAGAGGACATTATTCAACTTCTGAAATCCTCCTCCTGCTGCCTTGATATTATTCCAACAGGATTTTTCAAAGATGTTTTTCCTTGCATGGCCTCAGATCTACTTCATATAGTAAACAAATCTCTTCACTCAGGTATTTTTCCACAGGCCATGAAAAAACTGCAGTCATTAAACCGCTCTTAAAAAAGAATAATCTAGATGCTTCAGTAATGAACAATTACAGGCCCATATCAAACCTCCCATTTCTAGGTAAAATCATTGAAAAAGTTGTTTTTCAACAGTTGAGTAATTTCTTGCATTTAAATGACTGTTTTGATGTGTTCCAGTCAGGCTTTCGTCCAAACCACAGCACTGAGACTGCTCTTGTAAAGGTCTTTAATGACATCCACTTAAACACAGACAGTGGCAGAACTTCAGTGTTAGTATTATTAGATCTCAGTGCTGCGTTTGACACTGTTGACCACAGCATATTACTAGACCGACTGGAAAACTGGGTGGGACTTTCGGAAACAGTTCTGAATTGGTTTGAATCCTACTTAAAGGACAGAAACAACTTTGTTTCTATAGGTAAATACATATCTGAGTTGACAAATATGACATGTGGGGTTCCTCAAGGCTCCATCCTGGGGCCTTCTTCTCTTTAACATCTACATGCTACCACTGGCTCAGATAATGAAGAACAACAAAATAAGTTACCATAGCTATGCAGATGACACACAAATTTACGTAACAATTTCACCAGGAGACTATGCTCCAATTCAAACACTGAGTAAGTGCATTGAACAAATCAATGACTGGATGTGTCAGAACTTTCTCCAATTAAACAAAGATAAAACTGAGGTAATGGTTTTTGGAGCCAAGTCAGAACGTATAAAAGTTAGCGCTGAGCTTCAGTCTGCAATGTTCAAAACAACAGATAAAGCCAGAAATCTAGGTGTAGTCATGGACTCTGACCTGAGTTTCAACAGTCACATTAAAACAGTTACTAAATCAGCCTACTATCACCTAAAGAATATATCTAGGATTAAAAGACTAATGTCACAGCAGGATTTGGAAAAACTTGTCCATGCTTTTATCTTCAGTAGACTGGACTACTGTAATGGTGTCTTCACAGGTCTCACTAAAAAATCTATTAGAAAGCTGCAGCTAATTCAGAACGCTGCTGCTCGAGTCCTCACTAACACTAAGAAAGTGGATCACATCACTCTTGTTCTGAAGTCTTTACACTGGCTTCCTGTGTGTCAAAGAATATATTTCAAAATACTGCTGCTGGTTTATAAAGCACTGAATGGTTTAGGCCCAAAATACATTTCTGACCTCCTGCTAAATTATGAACCATCCAGATCTCTCAGGTCTTCAGGGACTGGTCAGCTTTCTGTCCCCAGAGTCAGAACTAAACATGGAGAAGCAGCGTTCAGTTATTATGCTCCAAATATCTGGAACAAACTCCCAGAAACCTGCAGGTCCGCTGCAACTCTGACTACTTTTAAATCCAGGCTGAAGACTTTTCTTTTTGTCGCTGCTTTTAATTGAACTATTCATATCTTAGACTGCACTGTAACTTTTATCCATGTACTTTTTTTTTCTTTTAATGTTTAATTGCACTGTAACTTTTATCCATGTATTTTTTCTTTTAATGTTTATTTTATTAGCTTTTCTTTTTAATGACTGATTTTAAATGCCATTTTCTTAATCTCTTTCATTTTTTGTAAAGCACTTTGAATTGCCTTGTGTTGAAAAGTGCTATATAAATAAACTTGCCTTGCCTTGCCTAACGTGACGGCCATCTTTATGTTGGTGACGCGTATTGTGCGAGACCAGAGACCTGGGTTGCGTTCCGATAATCCAAAAATTAGCTCCTAAATTCTAACCCTATCTCCTATTCCTTGACCTCTGAGTGAAACGTCACTAAGTGATAGTGGATAGGAGAATTCAAAAGGATTTAGGAGAAGAGACCGCGGTACTTTAGAGCAGAGGTTCTCAATTGTTTTTCAGCCAAGGACCCCTTACAAGATAGAGAATACACCAAGGACCCCCTCATTCTGATTTGTGATTTTGGGCTATATAAATAAAAATTGACTTGACATGTATGTCCCTTGGAATAATCTGACGTAGCCTATTTTTTACACTTCTATAGTCTTAGTTATGTGAAAGAACAACACAAGAGAAATGTATTAGAAATATATTAGATATGTATTAAAAATATTTGCACCATCTCAACACAGAATACCCATAAAACAATCAATCAATTAGCTGCAAGTAACACTGTACCTAAAGAAAATATCAAAGGGAAATCAAGAGAAAAGTGATCATTTGAAGTGCATTTCAGAACATACACACACACACACACACATAAAGATAACACATCAAGTGTTTCACTCTTAGTTAAATGATTTATAAAAGTCAAATCACAAAATAAATGCAGGCTATAAACAATTGAACACATGCCTGCATTGCAACATATATCAAGTAAATTGCAAAACAACTGCAACTGCATTGCTACAATCCCAAACCACTACTTGTAATGGCAGCCAGCTCTGGACACTATTGGAGTGATGCAAGGCAGTCCATGAAGCTGATTGCTTCTCTCTGCAAGTGAAGACACGCAAGGTGTGGCCCTTAGTGTGAGTGGGACCTTGGACATGCTGCGTGATGTTAAAGCACTCCAATAGTGACAGAAACTCAGCGGCAAAGGTGCAGGTTCTGGAGTCCACGTGGATGTTAAAATCACCTAGCAGTAGTGTGGATGGGGACATGGAGCAGATTGAGGTGAGAAGCTCAGACAACTCAGACATGAATGACGTGGAAGGTTTGGGGGGAAGGTAAATGAGGACGACCTGCTGCTTTGAGGGGGCAGCCACTGAGAAGGCAATGCACTCAAGTGAGATTTTATTCGTCACAAGCAGCTGTTTGACAGGGATATCTGCTCTGTGGATGACTGCCAGCCCACCACCAAGACCAATGGAGCGGGGCTGTTGGAGATAAGCATAACCTGGGGGGGTGGCTAGGTTGAGTGTGAGGAAGTCCTGTTTGTTTTGCCATGTCTCAGTGAGGCAGAGAAAATCCAATTTCCTATCAATGATGATTTCATTAATAAGTGATGCTTTGTTGTTAAGGGAACGGGTATTTAACAACATGAATGTGTGAGAGTTGTTATATGTTGCAATGGCTGGTAAAACAGTGATACCATCAACACAGGCCAAGGGCTTCAGGTTAACACTGCACACGTGTGGTTTGTTGTGATGACGTAAGTGGGCGGTGACGGGGCGCCGGGACCACACAGTTGGGATAGTGTCAGCTGAGCCGGTGTAAACAAACCCACGTTTGGAACCTCTGTGGACATACCTGGGTCTGCCAACTCGTAACAGCCCGAGGTATTCAATGACTGACAGACATAGAGGGGTGTAGTGAAGTGGTTGATCCTAAAAAGTTGCGATGCGGAGTAACGAAGCATCACGATGGTATGATGCTAACGTTAGCACAGCGTTAGCTGTGGTCGCGGATCGGCCGGGAGAATGCGCTATCAGCCAAGAGTACAGATGAACCAGGACAGCAGGCAGCCTGTCCAGGAAGTGACTCAAGGACGGACAGCACTGAGGAGAGATGGTGGAAGTTGAAGACGTTTGCCGCAGAGGAGCACCGGTGGTGGCCATGAGCAGGCTAGCCTGAGCAGGTAGAACTAGGCTAGCTTCTGATCGCCGTCAGACTGGCTGGGTGGAGAGGACCGTTGTTGTGTCTTTTGTGGCAGAACAAAATCAAACAGCAGCTAAGCAGGTGATACAGTGAAGCAGGATCGGGACTCAAAACGGGAAAATGAGACGGAGAATCGGGCTTGTCGTCAGATGGAGCCACTAACGCAATGGTTCTCAAAGTGGGGGGCGCTCCCCCCCCAGGGGGGCGCAGAGGCATGACAGGGGGGGCGCGAGAGACCAGGAGGAAAATTTGTTATTAAATTAAAAAAAAAAGATTATAAAATATTCATATTTTGAAAAATTATTGATTCGAAAATAATATGATACAGTACTATTACGTCTGGGTCTCTGTGTTTCATTAAAGCTCGGCTCTGTGTGTGTGTGTGTGTGTGTGTGTGTGTGTGTGTGTGTGTGTGTGTGTGTGTGTGTGTGTGTGTGTGTGTGTGTGTGTGTGTGTGTGTGTGTGTGTGTGTGTGTGTGTGTGTGTGTGTGTGTGTGTGTGTGTGTGTGTGTGTGTGTGTGTGTGTGTGGAACGAGCCATTTTGTGTGCGTGCGTGAGCGAGAGAGAGAGATAGCGCACCGGTACCGGAGATCGTTGATGTTAGCTTCTGGTGCTAGCGAGCTACGCTAACGGATATAAGGAGTTTTTTTAACAACAAAGTGGAGGAGAGTCCTCTCCTGTCAGACTGAGAGACTCAGTGAGCTAAAGGACTCTCTCAGTGTTATCTCAGTGGGTCTCAAACGTTTTGGTCACCATTAATGTAAACAATTATTTCCGAGGCACACGTTTATATGATCATTATAGTTATTAAAAAATAAGAGAATACATGAAAAACAGCTATGAAATAATATATGACAGTAAAACAAGAATAAAGTTTAAAAGAGTGATTTATAAAATATCCATAAAGAAATAGTAAATCTGTTTACAATTCTGTTTCATCTGGGTGTTGAGAGATGTATCCATAGATCTCTTCATTTTGATCTCAAAGTGCACCAGATTGATGCTTTCAACTTCAATATTTAAAAAATCTTCCCGGGGGAGCATGCCCCCGGACCCCCCTATGTGAGGTCCACACACCACCTATAAAAATAACACTTTACCCCTGCTTACACCTATATGCCGAGACTTGATATCGAGCCTTCATTGTAACAGTCGCGGGTACATAGTGTATGTGCGTGGAGAGTGTTGCAGTAGAAAATTCCACTGTAGCGACCGGTACATTAATGGGAAACCCTAAATGTTTGAGCACGCTCTATGAAAGGTCAAGCTACCCCACAGCACCCCCAAAAGAAATCTCTGGCGCCGCCACTGAGCCTGACTATTTGTGTTGGGGGGGCCCGACTTTTTTTTTTCTCCAAAGGGGGGGCCTGACCGAAAAAGTTTGAGAACCACTGCACTAACGTTAGCGATAGCGTTAGCCCTGAAGCAGGAGCAACATTAGCAGGTGTAGCGGGGTGGACAGGTCGGAAGCGGAGCATCAGTAAAAAGTTGCGATCGGGTGTTACAAAAGTGTCCAGAACAGCATGTGCAAGCCACTGAACGTATGGAAACTGAGGTAGAAACGTTGGTCCAAAATTCGGCAGATACATTTTCGGACAGAGAAGCGGCGAACAGACAACGCCAGCGTCCTCTCTCTCCAAAAGTGTTGCGTCACCAAAAAAAACTAAAAAAAACTAATGAATCTGAAAACTTTTCACGGACCCCCTGGCAGAGTGCCACGGACCCCCGGGGGGTCGCGGACCCCACTTTGAGAACCACTGCTTTAGAGAATCCGAATGCACTTTCACCATCCGACGTGTTTATGATGCGCCAGCGGACGTCCTGAATGTGCGTCTGCTGCTGTGGGGAAACTATGGAAACTACAGTTTTCTATACAGAGGACTACAACATGGATGTTTAATAAGAACGAGGGACTACTGTAAACTCATCTAGAGACTCTGCACCGTGCTCTGATGCTGTTGCTTTATGCTTTATGAACGTGGACAAGAGAGAAACATATTCTTCAGGACCAAAGTTGGAATTGAAATAAAAAAGGAAAGTGAAACTTCTGCTCGTCACCCTCTCCCTCTGGTCCACATTAATACAAATGATCCCAATACGTATGATTGTATGAACTATTAAAATATCTTAAAATAAATACAAATGTATTTATTATAAACGTTAGTCCTTAACATCTATCACTGTGTATATCACCATTCAAACATCTTTTAAAAGTTGAACAAACCCCACACAGCTCAGTGAAATGTTGATTTTATTTGATCATTTCAGTAAAAACTAACGTTCATATTTCTCTTTTTGATTATAATACTGATGAACGTTCAAAACAAAGCACTTTGGCAACTTACCACATACGTTTTAAAATGCGTAATAAGCACCGTAACTTTCATGATATCATTTCTCCCATTATCATTTGTGTCCGTGAACGGCCGACTGTTGAGTGACGGCAAATGCTGCGGCTGCAATGCATTGTGGGGCAGCATTTTCTCCTCTCCTTTCGGTAAGGGAGGTCCAGTGGTTCCTAAGCTAAAGGAGGTTAAAAAGGAAGTTTGAAACCTCCTTTCCTTTCATTTGGAGAATTGGAACGACACTTATCATGGCTGCCAGTGACGTACTTCCGGGTCATTTCACTTGGTTAGGAAGGTTCCTAAGCTAAATGGACTATTGGACTGGGCCCCTGTAGTTCACTGAGCGGTTTCACACGAACAAATGTGTAACTTCACAGTTTTACGACACATTTGTATTTGTTTGACTCGCAAAATGTTCTTTTAAATTGACAAACATCATATGTGTCATTCGTGGCACAATTCAAACGGGATCAAAAGATAACCTTTCTCTCTTCATTGACTTCAATGTATAATTTTCCGCTTCCGGGGTCCCATGGAGGCTTTCGGAAGGGGAGGGACTTCACCTCTCTATACTTCCGCATACAAAAAGCCTCCCCACGTGACCTCCCGCGTGTGACGTAACATGGGGGAGAGCGGCCGGTCTAAGGTATGAATAAACATGGATCACAATTCTAGTTTGACACAGAAGAGGTTGAAAATATATATTCGAATGCATATGATTATAATTATGAGCCTGCTAGGCGTCCGAGACCAGGAGCAGCCAAGGATTAGAAGAAATAACGGCCATCGACGAGAAATGGAGCTTTGGTGTGTGGAGAACCAGTGGAGAACAGAGCAGCTGTCTTCTTGGTGAGTGACCGGCGTTAGCTACAGACAGCTGTTAGCTAACGTCGGTCACATCACAACATTGTAAAGTTAGCTATCATATATCAGGCTATAACTAAAGTAGTATTGATAATATAGTAACGTTACTGGCAGGACTGTTGATACTGATCCATAACAGAAACGAATGCGCAAGTATCAGCCGTATCTCGCGTTACCTAATGCAACTCCACACTACGTCTCGGCCCGTCCACACAGAAGCGTTACAAAAATCGTAGATCTTGCAAGAGTGTGTTGCTGATACAGAAAGATCCAGCATATCTGTCTTTAACTTTAACAAAGTACAATGTTTTCTAACTTGTCTGTCCGAAAAATGCCATTTTAGTTTGTTTAGTTAGCTTGTGAGAAATAGAGACCTTTCATTTGGTGACTGTGGTGTGAAATAATTGGTTATAATCTATGTTCACGTTTATTTATTCATTTATTCAACAGGCACAGTGCACATTCATCAACATTTCTGTAAATGCACCAAGAGGCACATTTTCATCCGTAGTCCCTGGACAGATTTAGTTTGTCACCCTAAAGAAACATTTCATTTTAAACAAGTAAATACAATCAAATAAAGAACATGCAACATACAGTACTGGAAATGTACGTTAATGCTGTAAATGGAGCTGCTGTGAGTCTCCTGTTGAGTCACAGCCATTGAGAACCCCACATTACACAGAAAGAGGAAATTGGCTCAGTGTGGCGTCTCTTTTCCAAAACGTCTCCAGTAACAAACCTTAGTCATGTAGTGGAGTGTCCATTTCTTCCTAAAGAGGAGAAGGTGATGTATTCCACAGTTGGTGCATGATGGTTTTTTTTTAGATATAGGTTACACAGATTGCATCCATCCATTTAAGAGCTTATTTGTTAAGGAGAATGAATCAGTATCAGCCTAGAGCACATGTGTCAAACTCAAGGCCCGGGGGCCAAATCAGGCACTTGGTGGATTTAATTTTGGCCCGCAGGATAATTTCTAATTACTATTAGATCTGGGCCGCCGGTATATTGCACGCACCACCTTCACTCCATCCTGAGGGTTTCCTCAGCTCAGAGCCTGACCCCAAACATTGATGAACCTGCATCCAACATGAGATGCCAAGTATCTGGCTTGAACTAGCATCACCGAGCAGCACACTGAGTTTCAATGTTTCCTTCTGCACTTTTTCTCTCACGACAACAGGGCATGTTTGTTTTTTTCTTTGAGGGAAATAGTTTTTTGAAGCTGTTGTTGGCCTGTGGAAAAATGTAATCATAAGAAATGACTCTGGAAAAGCTGCAGATAGAGCCATAAGAAATGAATGCAACTGATTATTTAATGTTTAATGTTGTTTTTATAGGCAATAATTTAAGCTTTGTTAGTTCCAGGTTTAATATGTGCAATAAGTTCATTTCAATACGTTCTGCAATAAACATTGAACCAGTCCGGCCCTCGACTTGTACCGATTTTTTTATTTGGCCCACTGTGTGTTTGAGTTTGACACCCCTGGCATAGAGTATCTCTATCAGACAGAAACATGTGATCACTTTATCCCTAATTTGACTGTTGTGGTGTTTTTGTACTACAATTCCCAGAGTTCAACTGTCTTTATCAAACCGTGTATGCATGATTATGATATTCCTTAATTTTTGTATTGACTCATATATATGTTATATATATACTGTGTATTCCAAATAACCCGAAAAGGTACGCACCTTTATCAGAAACAATCACTGCTGTGTCTTATCCATCAGATGCATGAGCAGAGGAGATATGTTGTCAAGAAAAGTGATTTAATTGTTTACATTTTGTTTGTTTCTCTTTTTCAGGCCAAACCAGCGAAGCGAGGCTCGGCCAACGTGTCGTTTGCGGATCTGTGGCAGATCGGCCAGCCGCCCAACACCACCAAGTCCTAGAAGCATCTGAGCTAATTAACAACTGCAGAGTGTAAATAATATATTTTATTTAATCAACTAGGGTAGGCGATGTGTTGTAGTACTATTGTCTGGAATAAAGAACAGCATTTCCTCTCGCAGGAAAATGTACTTTGAGAAAACCAGAAGCAGTGACGTGTTGATGTTTTAAATACCAGCTGATGTAATGAGATAAGACCTTTATCAATCAATCAATAAGAGTGGGGGAAGGTAGAGCAGATGGGAGTTCACGCAAGGATAAGAATACAAATAAGATACCAAATGTTCTTTTTATCTTTGTGTTTTTGGTGCATACATAAAATAAAAGTCTAAACACGTAAATAAATAAATAAAGTACAAAATATAGCAATATTTACATCGAATATGGTTGAAATATACAGTATGTATACCCGTAGAAATAAAATAGGATACAGTGTATCAATAGAGTATCTAAGGAATGTGCTACATGGTTAAGCTGTACTGAAAAAACATGTATACAGTATAATAATATTCAATGGTTAGACTAACAGATCTAATTTCAGTCAAATTGAGTGAAAGAGAAATAGTGCAAATCACTTTATTAAATATTTCAGCAGCAGATGTCCTGTCTCACAGTGACAGAAAAAAATGTTGTTTTAAAGGGCCCATGTCATGCTTTTCTGGTTATTACCCATCCCCTTTTGTGTTATGAAGGTTTTTATGCATGTGAACGGTCTGCAAAGTCACAAACCCTCAAAGTACACCCTTTAGCGAGTACAATTCTAACGCAGACCTGTCTGCTGCCTCAGAACGCCTCGTTGGACATTTCTCATTTTCCAATGTTTTCTTCCTGGGTTCTGTGACGTGTGAACACCCAAATCATCAACAAATGACCGGATTGGCCAAAATGGACTAATCCGCGGAGCACCTCACACACCAGGATCCCTTGGCTAACAGGGAGTCCCATTGACTTGCATAGAGCTACCTGAACGCTGGTAAGAGACGAGTTGGGATCGCGGAGAAATGCTCTCCGCAGACCAATTCCGACAGCGTTAAAAACCTTTTTCTTACTCAATATCAAGCAACACTTATTGTTTTTACTTCGGCTGTGAGTGTTTGTGTGTGCTCAGGATGAGTTTCGCTGTGTCTCACTGTATCGCCGACCCGGAAACCTGTCCGCTCCTCGCAGCAGCGGCGAGCAGCAACGAGCCTCGCAACGAGCCGACCAATCAGAGCACACTGGGCTCACAGGGAGGGGGGGTGGGGCAGGAGCTCCAACAAGCCGTTTAGGACAGAGTGAATACACATACTATACAGAGATGCTGTATGAGAAACCAATGTGAGTTTGGAACATTGAACAATGTAAATCTATTCTAGTAGACCTCAACAATGAAATGTGATCAGTAGAAATGGCCATGACATGGGACCTTTAAGATCTGATTAGTTCAACCTTTCCCTGTACTGTGCAGAGAAACTCCCCACGGTAGAAAACAGCCAATCACTCAAGATCTTTTCGACCCCCAGCCATATTACTCATAACTTCCTCTTAGATTAAAAATAATAAGTCAGCAGAGTTCACCAGCTGCAGAGATGCTGCTTTGTCTCTACTTCCTGCTGCTCGCTGCATGCTTCTCTATCAGCTATACAAGAAGATCTATTTTTAAGAGGTTTCTATTAAAATATTCATAAATCTGGATGATTTGACATTGGCATTAATAATCTAAATCAAGTCAAAAGACATGTCAAGTTTTACTGTGTTTTATATGTTGAAAAAGTGTTTTAGTTTACAATCTTTTGTTTAGTATAGCTTAAAGGGGCTCTATTCTGATTTGTTGGGTTCTCCCTTTCCTGTAGTGTGTTATACAGGTTTTTGTGCATGTAAATGGTCTGCAGAGGCTGAAATCCCTGTGTTCCCTCCAGAGGCACTTTCTCTGGGAAAGAGCTTTTTGAACATTAAAGCATCACATTACAGTAGACGTACAAAATACAAATGTGAACCTGAAAATTAGCATAATATGAAAAATAAAAATAATAAAAACATTTGAGTTAACAGGCTCTTTCGGTAAAATCTAGCCCGGACAAATATGTAACTTGTTTCTTAGGTTTGCCTGTTTTTTTTTCTAAATATAGAAAAACTATAAATGAAAACCATGAGAAAATCAATTGTCCAGCTTGTCAAGGCTGTTGGGTCAATAAATGTGTAACTACTTTCTGCTTTTCAGCTGATCCTGAACAAATAACAGCGCTGCCGGGCACGAATGCTACACTGCCCTGTCCTCATAAGAAAGGAGATGTAAAATGGAGTTGGTTTAACCAGCATAATGGTAAACTGCCTCTTGTCACTATAGAAAAGGGCAAAGTGAACGTCATTGAAAAACGCTTTGCTTTTGGATCAGATAATTCACTGGTGATAGAAAACGTTACACACTCTCTTGAAACAATGTGTTTTTGTAATAACTACTATATATATTTGAATGTAATGAAGGATCCTAACATGGTGCATCCTGAAGCTGGATATAAACCAGTCAAACAGAGAAACAAGGGACTGGGTAGTGACTCAGGACAGGAGGGAACCACTGCAGAACCAGAGAACTTGTTACTTGTTAGACGGTTTTATCCAAAGCGACTTACATACTCAATTTGGGGTGAGGTGTCTTGCCCAGGGACACAACGACATGCTGACTGCAGTGGGGTTTGAACCTGTGCTCCCCTGATCCCAACGCACTGCGCCACAGCCTCCCTGTACATCTGATTTGTATCCACTTGAGCTTTTTTACCTGTGTTTATGTTGTTGCCATCCTTTATACTGAATCAATGAAGGTGAATGGTTGCTCAGAAAAAGTCCTAAAGAATCCAACTGGGTTCAATAGCTGGATCATTCCTGTTCTTCTTCTGCAGTGGAGTGAGATCTCGTTGTTGTTGTTGTTGTTGACTTGCATAACAACAAATGTTAGTTTACAAGAAGTCATTGATACCCTAACAATTGATTCATACCTGCTGATGACAAATAAATCCTGGGGTCTACAAAAGTGAATGTGTTTCATGCATCTGATTTGTATCCACTCAAGCTTTTTTACCTGTGTTTGCCTTAGTTTATGCTGTTGCCATCATTTATACTGAATCAATTAAATATTTTGCCAGAAAGGTCAAACTTTAGGAATACAGAGCAGTTCTTATCATGCCATAACCATAGCCGTGGAGGCAGTGCAAACTAAAATATAATATTGGTGACAAAAAACAGAGCCATCAGTGCAATTGTTACATTCTAATTTCTTTGATATTGTAGGCGTCAATTATCTATTTATTAAATGTGAATACTTTTATGTACATATTGTGTTTACAATTGTACATAATTTGACTGTAACACTATGGTGTTTTCAATTGAATGCACTTTATACAATAACGTGGTCAGTGCTACAATAACAGTGAGTCGTGAAATATGAATTATTAAATGCAATAATAGGGATTCATTTGTTTATCTAAATATAAGGACAAAGGTAAAGTGTCAGATTACTTGCACAGTACACAATGTTCAGATGACTTTGCCCAAAAGCAAACATTTTAAGTTGCTTGAGTCAGACTCAGAATTTTAAAATCAGACTCTCAAGTCATAAGGAAATCCATAAAGATATCTCACTGAAGAAAAGACACATTTGAATGAAATAAGCTTTATTTCAATGAGACTATATAACTACAGCTCTCAGGACATCAGGAGAAGGAAACAGCTAGCTTGGCTCTCATAGTTTTCCCACACTCCCACCACTATGGTTTTAATCCTGTGTGAACACGAAGATGTGATTTGAGAGTATCTGATCTAGTGAACATTTTTCCACACTCTTCACACCAGTACGGTTTTTCTCCTGTATGAATACTGTGATGTCTTTTGAGAGCACCTGATGAAGTGAAAGTTTTCCCACACTCTTCACACCAGTATGGTTTTTCTCCTGTATGAATACGGTGATGTATTTTGAGATCACCTGATTTAATGAAAGTTTTCCCACACTCTTCACACCAGTATGGTTTTTCTCCTGTATGAATACGGTGATGTATTTTGAGATCACCTGATGTAGTGAAAGTTTTCCCACACTCTTCACACCAGTATGGTTTTTCTCCTGTATGAATACGGTGATGTCTTTTGAGAGCATCTGATCTAGTGAAAGTTTTCCCACACTCTTCACAGCTGTACGGTTTTTCTCCTGTGTGAATACGGTGATGTGATTCTAGAGCACCTAATGTAGTGAAAGTTGTCCCACACTCTTCACAGCAGTACGGTTTTTCTCCTGTATGAATACGGTGATGTCTTTTGAGAGCATCTGATCTAGTGAAAGTTTCCCCACACTCTTCACAGCTGTACGGTTTTTCTCCAGTGTGAATATGCAGGTGGCGATTTAAAGTTCCAGATGTTGTAAAGGATTTGTCACATTGCTGACAGCTGTGACGTCTCTCTCTTCTTTTCAGTTTCTAGAACAGACGGACAGAGAAAGAGAGAAAGTCAATCTAAAAAGCATAAATACACAAGTTAACACAATAAAAACTCACTTAATATAAACCTTGAGTTAACAAAATACTACTTATCTGTTTATTATATTAGCATTATATTTGATACAGTAATACAGCAACATGCTAACCACAGTATATACCAGAGGTGGGGGACTCGAGTCACATGACTTGAGTCGCATATTTTTTGACTTGAGACTTGCTTGACTAACATTGATAAAAGACTCGACTTGACTTGTGTAGGGGTGTAGAGTTATTTGTTCAAGCACCGGATCGGCAAAACAGGAGAGTCTGTGAACCAGTCTGCCTTTACCTATGTACTCATGTCTGTGACTCTCACAGTATCTGCTGCCCACAGCTGTTTTATAGAAGGAAAACCTCCTTCACTTCATGAAATCTCTGCAGCACCAGGAGGCAGTAACGTGTAACTCAGCAGAATCTGAGAAGAGCAACACCAGCTGCAAAGAGCCACACACAGCCACACACACACACACACACACACACACACACACACACACTTTCAGAGCCCCACTCTCCATGAGGTCCCATGTCATGGCCATTTCCACTGATCATAATTCCATTGTTGAGGTCTACTAGAATAGATATATATTGTGCAATTTTCCAAACTCACATTGGTTTCTCATACAGCATCTACGTGTGTTCACTGAATTTCACTCTGCCTTTAACGACTCGTTGTAGCTCCAATAGCTCCAGCCCCCACCCTCCCTGTGAGCACGGTGTGCTCTGATTGGTCAGGACGTTGTGAATCACGCTGAGCTCCGTGGAGGTGTGGTTTAGCGACAGCCAAACACAGCCAAACTCACCCTGAGCACACACAAAGTCACAGCCGAAGTAAAAACAATAAGTGTGGCTTGATATGGAGTAAGAAAAAGGTTGATAAACGCTGTGAGAATGGGTCTGCAGAGAGAATGGGTCTGCAGAGAGAATTTTGCCGTGATCCCAACTGTCTGTTATCAGCCTGCAGCCAGGGAGGAGAAATCAGCAGAGCTGCCTGCACTGAGTGTGTGTGTGTGAGGAAGTCCGTGGATTGGTAAATTTGGACCAATCAGCGGGGGCTTCACGTAACGGCTCCAAGGACGTAACGTAACGGTAGGGCTGTGCAATTTAATCGATCCTGCGATATATATCGATATTTAGTTTTCCGAGAAAGTATCGATATTTCAGCCGCGGGTATCGATACATTAAGTCTGATAACTGTGTTTGTTATTCTCGCGTCCAGGAGAGAAGCTTTAAAAAGGAGACTAATTGAGTCTCTGAGAAGGTTAAAATGTATACTTTAATCAATAAAAAGCGTGGTAATGTTACAAGCAGAAGATGGTTCAGTCAGAAAAACAGCTGTGTTCTGGGTGAGCGAAGGGAAGAGAACAGCTCCACCTTTCCAGCTGTTAAATATCCATTGCTGGCTCCTCCCTGTGGGCCGGTTGGCGCTGCTGGGGGCCGGTCCTCCACGTCTCGAATGTTCGTTGTTGCGCATTACAGAGGATTCAGACATTGTACATTAAATATATAACTAAACACGCCTTTTCTCCTGCTTATCTCTTTCATGACTTTTCATTTAATACATTTTAAACGCTGTAATCAATACTCCAAAAATACCTCACGGCTGGTATCATTTCCGGTAGTTCCGGATGTTGTCTCATGCTACCCACGTCTGTAAACAAACGTATTCAAATAAACTGTACCTTCATTTAATATTCAACAATAATAATATCTCGACGTCTGTAGTTGTAGTGTTGAAATCAGTAGGTTTCGGTGTGCAACACTCCGTGTCATATCACTACTAAATTCACCTCTATAGTAAATGGTATATTAGCCACATGCTAAATGCTAACCGGAGATCAAGGATTTTCAGAATAAAAGCTTAACAACTGGTTGTGCACAAGAACTTCTGGTTTTTCAGTATAAAACAGCATTTAAACTGACGGTATGTTTAAGGTACTTTATGCCATCAAAACATTGATTTTGAAGTCCCATTCAAATCCCCCGTGTTCCGCCACCTGCTGCACCTTTTAATTGTCCATTGTCCATTGTGATACTGCACTTTATGTGCTTACGTTTCAAAGGCTTGTAAGCTACAGTTTGCACTGTTTCAATAAATGAAACAAATTCTCACCACATCTTTTGATTCATTTTGTCCAGCATTTGCAAGCTGTAGACTCTCTGTCAGAGCCATATATTGTATAATTGATGCTTTCAGTTTTCAGTTGAATTAATTCAATCCAAGTCAATGGAACACTCACAAGATGTCACCAAAATCACACTGTCCCTTTAAAATCTTTCAGAAAATGATATAAGTGTATCGAATCGTATCGAATCGTATCGTTGGCTGAATATCGTGATATATATCGTATTGTGAGCTGAATATCGTGTATCGTATCGTGAGATAAGTGTATCGCTACAGCCCTACATAACGGCTCCACGGATTGGTCAATTTGGTTCCGGGTAACGCATGACCGTATCGCGTCATAGCTCTGGGCGCGGCTACTGGCCATTCCTACGTCACAGTACCCAGGAAGTAAACAATGGACAATGACGTATCTCCAACGAGGCGTTTTGGGGAGGTATTTTCTGTGTTAAGAGTTTTACTCGCTACAGGGAGTACTTTGAGGGTGGCTCCATCCCTCATAGATACTATCTCTTTACGTTAGTGGTGGGAATTCCGGCTCTTTTTAGTGAGTCATTTTATCACAGTTGATCACGGAGCCTCAGTTTACGAGCGAGCTCCACTAGCACCCCCGCGCTCATCGCGTACATTCCGTGTTGTCCTGTGGCAGTCACCGCCGATGTCGGGGAAACGATCTTCAATACTCCGAAAAGAATCCCACCAGACTACTTTGCATACTGTGAGTGCTCACAGCCTGGCCATAGAAACATGCAGGTGCACACACACAGACACAGAGAGAGAGAGAGAGAGAGAGAGAGAGAGGAGAGAGACAGAGACAGAGACAGAGACAGAGACAGAGAGAGAGAGAGAGAGAGAGAGAACAGACTGAGTGCTCACAGCCTGGCCATAGACACAGGCAAGTACAAAAAACCATGGCTGCCAAAAGAGGAGCGATCATGCCAACCGTGAGGAGGAACTGCTGTGGAGACAGAGCAGCACTTCCTCACACAATGCCCAACTTTTGAACCTATACGGAAACAATTATTCCCAAAACTCAACCATAGGCATCCTCAAATATTTAAAAATGAAAAATACTCCTGGGGGAATATAAAGAGAGCTGCATTGTTGCAGGACAGTTTGTCTCTGCCTGCCACAGTTTGAGGGAATCGGACTGACCTGATCCACCAGCTCTCACATCATTCATATATTCATATATATATATATATATATATTCATATATATATATATTCATATATATATATATATTCATATATATATATATATATATATATTCATATATATATATATTCATATATATATATATATATATATATTCATATATATATTCATATATATATATATATATATATATATATATTCATATATATATATATATATATATATATATATATATATATGAATAGGGCCGGGACTCGATTAAAAAAATTAATCTAATTAATTAGAGGCTTTGTAATTAATTAATCGAAATTAATCGCATTTTTAATCACATATAAATATTTGACCTAAGAACAGTGAGAAGCAATTTTTTTCACATGGATTTTAGTATACCATTAGGCGCATTCACACCGCAGTACTTTTCCCACAAAGGTTCATGAGAACTCTTTGAACCTGGGGGAGGATTAGGCAAATGAAGCCGCTGACGTCACTTATTCTTCTTCTGCTTTGGGTTTACTGGCAGGGCCGCAAACCACTTCACGGCGTATGGTGCCGCCCGAAGTCCCCGGCCGGAAGTCCCCGGGGACTGGCTTCAGTAGAAGCGGCTGGGAGTCCCAGCAGCCTTCCGAGTAAATCGCCAGAACGCCGACACCTCCTCATCTCCACCGCTCGCTCCCATGTTTTATTTTGTGTTGCCATAAGTTAGTCTCTCTGCGTTTCTGCGCTGGGCTAATGCTAATAATGCTAATGCGAGGATAATAAAATGGCGGCTTCACAAAACTTTTTGGGAGTTTTACAGGGCGTGGTTTGCAATCCGCCCAGCCAATCAGAAATATAGCTCTTTTCTCACAAGAGAGCCGTACGAAAGTCCCTGCTCTCTAGCAGCTCTCTGCTCTCTAGCAGGCACTTTCGTGGGGGTAAAAAGGTTCTCATGAACTCATTTTAGTACCGGCTCTTTTTGGTGTGAACGCGATAAAAGAGGCTAACGTCCACGCTAGCTTCCACGCTAGCTGCTATATGTTTTGCATTGAGGTGATACTTGAGGCTTGATGTGCTGCGGTGATATGCGAATTCCTTTTTGCATAATTTGCACACAACCGTGCTCTTATCGACGCTTCCATCCGTCCGTTTTTTAAAACAACATTTCCCACTGTTGTTCACTGTGGTTTGTTGTTGTCTGAAGTCATGAACGTTAGTTGGTGCTCCAGTATAATCGGTACGCCTGAAACTCATCCAGTGAGAAACGTTCCGCCGTGCAAAAATAAGTGCGATTAAAATGCGTTAATTTTTTCAACGCGTTAATTTTTGTGTAATTAATTAATCTTAATTAACGCGTTAAAGTCCCGACCCTAATATATATATATATATATATATATATATCATATTTTATTTTGTATTCATGTATTATATTAATTAAATGAATCTGTATTCCTTGTAAAAAACAAAAAAAACATGTTCTTAGCAGTTTGTTTATAACTGTTTATTTGTGTGTATTTTTGTATAGATGTTGCAACTATACAGAGCTTTGGCAATACTGTCTGTAACTATGGTCATGCTAATAAAGCTATTGATTGAATTGACTGCCCTTTGTACATGGAGCTGACAACAAATAATGTTATTATGAATACATGTGCCTCCGAGTCCTGCATGAACTGTGCATAGACTGTATTTTAACATTGGTCATATGGTGGTATTGGAGAACCAACTATTTTCTCAGGTGGTACTTGGTGTAAAAAGGTTGAGAACTACTGGCCTAGAGAATTTGGATGTATTTTACTGTTTGATGTTTACGTGACTCCCAGCGTTAGAGCGTCACTGGCAGCCGGCTCCATCGCTGACTGTGTTCACGAGCTGCAACTCAGCCACCCCGATGCACCGGCAATATTGCTCGGGGACATGAAGCAATGTCGCCTGGAGACTGTGTTACCTGGGTTCCAGCAGTATGTTAGGGATCACAGCAGGAAAGACAATATCCTGGACAAATGCTTTGTTAATGATAAAGGAGCCCATGTGTCTGCATACAGACCACCAATACTGAACTCTGATCATAATGTTGTGAATATGATACCAGTGTATAAGACCAAACTGAAGGGAAGTCAACCAGAAAAGAAAGTAATAAGGACATGGACAAATGAAAGTAGGGAACAGTTGAAAGCCTGTTTTGATTGGACAGATTGGGACATTTTTCAGGTTCACTAGATGAAATAACTACCGTTACCAAAGACTATATTAACTTCTGTGTTCCCACTAAAGAAATACAAATCTATCCAAGTAATAAATCATATGTGACTAAGGACATTAACAAAAAGTTATAAAAACCAGGAAAATAGCTTTCAAAAACAAAGACTATGGAGCACTTAGACAGAGAGAGAACTGAAAGTCAAATTGAGGGAATCAAAACTGGCACACAGAGCTTTTGGGAAATGCTTTTAAAGCCAAAGACCTCAAAAAAGTGTGGGACACTATGAGAACCATGACAGGAATGACCTCTTCAGCTAAACCTATTGTGACGGACAAGACATACTTGATCCATACCAATTTGCCTATAAGCAAGGGGGTGGTACTGTTGCTACTCTGGTTCCTATCATTACTAAACATTCAGATAAACGTCACACCTATGCAAGAGCCCTCTTCCTAGACTTCTCAGCAGCATTCAACACAATACAAGCAGACATCTTGGTGTCAAAAATGGAAGTAAATCCACTTTCCTCACTAGTAGAGAGCAACTTGTGAAGGTTAACAAAACCCTTTCATCTGCCATCACAACCAATGTAGGGGCCCCCCAGGGCTGCGGGAGTTCAGCTGTGCTCTTTACTAGATTATTTTAGCTTTTATTGATGACTTTACTGAACTGCTGTCTATAGTGTGTATTGACTTTGACCGTCTAGTCATTGTTGGTGATTTTAACATCCATGTTGACAACCCCCAGGACAGAGGGGCTAAAGAACTGTTTTGGTTTCTTGATAGCTATGGACTGACTCAGCATGTGACGGAGCCCACGCACAATAAGGGGCACACTCTGGACTTAATGATCTCAAAGGATCTGAATATCTCTGAGGTTGTGGTGACTGATGTTGCACTCTCTGATCATTCCTTTGAGAGCTCTATTTCTGTTCACACAAATGTTCAAAAAGAGGTAACCACAAAGCGATATTTAACTGAAAACACTAAGGACATTTTTACTCCGAATGTTTCTTCCACACTTGCCCCTGCTAACCTCTCAGTAAATGAGCTAGTAGATCATTTTAATTCAAAAATTCAAAAATGTATAGATGCCATTGCTCCAACTAAGGTAAAGGAAGTGACTGGCAAGAAAAGATCTCCATGGAGAAAGGCCATGACGGTGAGAACAGAAAAAAGAGAGTCAATCTTCTCAGTAAACACAGAGCTGAATCCAGATCAGATGCACGCTGAAGGCTCTTTTGCCCCTATCACACCAGCGCCTTTCCAGCTCCGGCTCGGAGCTGGAGCCTGAAAAGCGCCGGTTTTTCCTGTTCACACCGCAGCGGCGCCGCCTCTTAGCTCCGGAATCGGGTTCACTTCCAGCTCCAAAAAATTGTCGGTCTAGAGGCAAGAACTTCGGAGCTAAGAGGTGGCGTCGCTTACGTCTCTCTTACGTCGAGGCGTGCAGGAAACTAAACCCACCTCCCCTGAACATGGGTCGACTGTCATGCCTGCCTACAAGCAGTAGTGCTTATAAACACACTTTATAAAGTCAGGCAACACTAACCAGGCTTCGTGTGATTCTGTTTATTTGTACCTTACTTTGACCATCCGTTCACTGTTATTGATCATTGTGGAGAGAGGCAGACGTGTTGTTTTGTATTATAGCAGCTATCGGATGGAATCAATACATGGGCTGCACAGGTTGTCGTGTCCGACTATCACAAGTAGAATCATAATAAAAATACGCCGGTAAAATGAGCCTGTAGAAAACGATTTATGCCACAATAGGATAGCAATAGCAAGTAGTCAGTTTAGCTTCGGTTGCTATGCTAACATCACCCATTTCATACCAGAGAAACTTTCATGTTGTGATACCAAACAGCGTCAATTCAGACTGACACACATTCACTTAGGCTAAGGGGAACTGGGGATATGTATCAGCTGCTTGTGTGAGTCGGACAGTGAATACTTTAGAGCGGCCGCAGCAGTGTGAGCTAACCGGGAGCTAACGGAGGAGAATAAACTCCCGTGGAAGAGCAGCCAACACTGCAGCGGTCGGTAAATGCTGCAGAAACACATTAATAAACAATGAACCACGGCACTCTGGAGCAAAGTATAAGGTTGGAGAAGTCGTTATTCAATTTATTCTGGCTTCGTGTGATTAAAAGCAACACGATCATCGACCTGATGCAGTTCCCCGTTGTTGTTGTTGTGAGCGCCGTAATGCCGTTGGGGAGCAAATCAGCGATGTAAACGGTGACGTCATGACGCAGCAGCGGCAGCATCAGTCGGGTGCTGGGCGGTGTGAACAGAGCGGGAGCAGAAAAGGGAAACCGGAGCTGAACCAGAAAAGCTCCCGCTCGGAGCTAGAAAGGGAAAAGCGCTGGTGTGAAAGCCGCATTTGAGCAGCTCTCACTGATCCTGCTGTTATGTTACATGTTTGTTGCTCATGTATTGTGTTTGTCTTATTTGTCTATGTTGATGTTACACATGGAGCTGCTGTGACGCAAGTCACATTTCAGACTTTATCTGACAATTAAAGTATTATCGTATACAACAACGTTCTAACCTATATCTAACCATATTGTGCATTCATATTGTATATTTCAACACAGGTTGTGACCCTTCATTTGGGGATAGCAGTGTTAGGCATTTGTGAGGTGCAACAACATTAACCTTTCTGTTGGTCGCTTGTTAGCAGACCCTCCACGCGATAGCAGACTGAACAGGTACAGCAAGTGAGGGATCATTGTCCACTAGTAAATCAATTGCAGATGGGGTCGTGCTCGTGGATGTATACAAACAAAATAATAATGAATGGGTCGCGAAATATACTTTGGTGGCCGTTAAACCTGGGCGGCCCAAGTAACGTCTATGTGTGGGAAACCCTGGACTTGAATTTTGAATTGAGCCTCCCTTATAGATACCACCTCTTTACGCATTAGTGATGGGAATTCTGGCTCTTTTTAGTGAGTCGGATCATTTGGCTCGGCTCACTAAGAAGAGCCGGCTCTTTCGGCTCCCAAACGGCTCTTCATGTTACCACAGTTTACCAGAGCCTCAGTTTCTCCAGTTCACGCACGTGCTCCACTAGCACCCCCCCGTCAAGGCTTGCCGGCAGTACACTTTGCTGGCGGTGAAAATAATCCCACCAGACTCCTTTGCCCCTCCAACAGAGGGATGTCCTTGTCCTTTTCGTAATTTCAAGCGATAACAACTCTTTTGGACGCCCTCGGCTCGAGTTCAGGGCGTTCCGAGCTAAATAAGGGCGTCAAATGACGGCAAGACGCCCGCCTGGCGGAAACGCTGGAATTAGGAATATATTGTGATGAAGTGCACACTGACCTGAGCTCCAGGGGTCTCCTTGTTCTCCTCCATGCTGCTGAAAATGATAGAAAGGTCAGATAGTTATTAACGATAAAAAGTTATTATTATTAAATCATTATTAATATAATACAAATATTTTTGATATAATTCTTCATAATCTGTGTAGCAACTTACATTCTAATTTACAGCTCAGTTTGTTCACTTTTATTTCATTAAAATGACTTTATCCACATAGAAAGTGACATTAATGGTTGTTTGAACCACGGTTATAACGCTATCTGTGTCATTAACTATTACTGAGTTAACACAGAAAAGCAAACATTAGCTAGTGAGACTGTTTAATGTACTCCATGTATACAGTATTTTCTGCATATTGTGTATTCTTTAGATACTCTAGTGCAGGGGTAACTACAATTCAACGAGGTCCAGTTAGAGAAAATGTCCCCGTGCAAAGTACGGAACTTCAAAATGTCTAACTTGCTTTATGAATTAGTGTGATATATATTGAAGTAGCCTGTAGCTTTATCAACGTCTGCATGTAATCAGCAACTGACTGCCAATCAAATAAAGAAAGTATAATTCAAAAACAACAATATTTATTGTAAATTAACATTGAACTCTACAGATATACAGTAAATACTGTGGATATGTGTAATGTTCCTCTCGGGCTGCATTTAAAAATAAAATAGAGAAAATAAATAAAATAGCTTTTGAAAATATGTGCATCTTAAAAGTGCTTAATTTTAGATAAGTCAAATAAAGTGTAGCAGCAGCTTGAGTTTCCCTTTTTCTTTGTTAACCGTTTCACGTCATGACTTAACAGTTTCAGCCGATTATAGAACAATATCAGTCTTTACACATCATAACAATTGAACAGTTTTAAAGATTCTCTTTCTCTCTTATATTGCAGTCCCCCACTACCTTTTTTTATTTTTTATTCAGTGCGAGAATTGAGCTGGAGCTTGTCCTGCCAGGAGTTTGTAAATCTGGGCTGAAATGGTGTCAGGGCCATTCTCATACACATGCAGGTGCTCATTGGTTAGCCTGCCCTGCTTTAGTTTTAATCCTGGTCGACTGATCATATTGGGCTTATTTTTTGTGACCTCAGTTCTGACTTGAGAGGGAATGTTTGGTCAAACACTGTGTGTGTCAAAATTGAAATCCCCTATTAATGTATCGATTATAGGTCCGGGTAGGTCGGCGTCTAGGTCCGCCTGTTGCCGACCCCTGCTCTAGTGATATGTGTCCTGTGTGTAAACTTGCTGCTAATGCTTCATTTTTATTATATCTTATTGCATCTTTTAAATATGTTTAACTTGTCTAATGCCTGAAAACACTTCTGCTGTGACACAATCATTTCCAAGTTTAAGATAAATCATTATTTAAGTCAGGGATGCAAACTCATCAGGTATGAAAAAGGTGACAAGGAGCCGAGCCCCCGACCCCACGGAATATCGTCTTTAAAATGAGGAATAACAGATGATTTTAGCAGTCAGAACAACTAAAGCAGCAGTGGTAATAATAACAGAAACGCCAAAGTGTCACATCTAATAGAAATATATAAAAGCATTTATTTTAATTGTGTAGCAGTCAGTTTATAATTTTGGCAGCACTGTTGAGCATTTTGAAAATGTATTTTCATGCCTCTGTGCAAGGCTTAGTCTTTCTATCTGTATAGCCACTGGTGTAAAGTAACTAAGTTCATAAACTCAACAAGTACTATACTTGGGTAGAATTTTGAGATATTTGTACTTTATTTAAGTATTTCAATGTTTTGCTAATTTGTTCTTCTACTCAACTACAGTTCAGAGGTACATGGTGTACTTCTACTCCACTACATGTATTTAATACCTTTAGTTACTTTACAGATCTGGATGAATGATGTGAAATATAATCAAGTGTTAAATCAGACTTTAGTTCCACCTGGAGTAAATCCACAAGCTACCCTGCAGTATACAAAGTCATTCAAACTAGCTGCACCTTTACCAGCTTTGATAACACTTTAATGATCAATCATTATAAAACATATCATATATATTATTCTGAAATGGACCAATCTGCACAGTGACTACTTTTACTGTCGCTACTTTCACTATATTTTGATGAGAATACTTTTCTACTTTTACTTGAGGAACATTTTGAATGCAGTACTTTTACTGTAACATAGTATTCCTCCAACCTGAGTACTTCTACTTTTACTCAAGTACAAGATCTGAGTACTTCTACTTTTACTCAAGTACAAGATCTGAGTGCTTCTACTTTTACTCAAGTACAAGATCTGAGTACTTCTACTTTTACTCAAGTACAAGATCTGAGTGCTTCTACTTTTACTCAAGTACAAGACCTATACTTATACCACCTCCGTTTATAGCCTATGAAAAAAAACTATTAGAAAACGAAGGCTAAAGCTAACGTTAGCAGATAGTGACAATGTATAGCTCAACGATTCCTTAAATAATATTGTGACAGAAACATTTTTCAGTGCACATCACGCTCTGCCGCTCCGACAGGGAGCTCTGATCTGAACACCTGAACGCCCCGTTCTAACCGCTGTTCACCAGCGGTCCAGTCTGTGCCACTGTGACTCCGGACCACACAGTTAATATTAACGAACGCACCCGTAGGCAGGCCCGGACTGGCCATCGGGAGGACCGGGAGGTTTCCCGATGGCCTGGCCTGTTAAGTGGCCTGCTGGCCTGAGGATTATTTTTTGTATGTATGTATTGTGAACACAACGCTGCGCAAATGTGGGTCTGACTCTGCCTCACAGCGGGTGACTGGCTGTCTACATGATGTGGCCTGCCGACATGGCCACTTTCATACAGATCGTACACTAAAGCCCTCGATTGGTCTCTGTGTGTCATTCAAGCTCGGGAGGGTGTGTGTATGTGTGTCACGAGCGAGCGAGAGAGAAAGCGCGCTCCCCGGTTACGTGTATTGTTGTTGTTAGCATCTGGTGCTAGCTAGCTGCGCTAACGGATATCATGAGCTGTCAACAAGGTGGAGGAGAGTCCTCTCCTGTCAGACTGAGAGACTGATAACTACAGCTCAGCCTCAGGTGAGGTAAAGTGTTTAGTTAACTTAGTCTAAGTTCTCTGTGGGTCTCAAACGGTTTGGTCACCATTTATGTAAACATATATTTCCATTTGAAGGGGGAGTGATTAGTAAAATATGGATGAATAATAAAACTAGGTGAAAAAAGGCAATATAAACTTTAAAAACATGGTGAGAGCTAAAACTAGTCTTTGCTGCTGCCTCAAAGAGGAGCAGGGGGAGAGGAGGGAGACAGGAGAGGCTGATTCAGGAGCCTAGACACGCTCACAACTATAAATGAACCAAAAACAAATAAATAAACAAGTCTCAATGTTTTTTCATATTGGATATGGTATGTTATTGGTTATGGCCATGTTCTTATGAATTTATGATTATTTAAATGTATACAGTTCTGTTTCATATGGGTGTAGTCTCTTTATTTCCCCCTCAAAGTGCACCAGATTGATGCATTTAAGTCCAACATTTAAAAAAAAAATTTTTTTACCGGGGGAGCATGCCCCCGGACCCCCCTAGAGGATTTGAGGTCCACCTCAACCTAAAATATGTTCACATGGATAGGTTCCTAAATAGATTTGCACTTTTTTTTAAAATTAGTAACCCATGTCCATATGTTTATTCTGGGGTAGTAGATTTAAAGTTTAGGGCTATCACTATGGGCAGCACTAATGGCACAAAAGACAACTGGTAGTGGCCTGGCTGGGTGTATAATTCCCGGCCTGACTTATTGTCCCAGTCCGGCCCTGCCCGTAGGTAATGTAGCTGCTGAAGCTAAACCCTCATCGCGGAGCAGCAGCCTTATTATACATCCATGAGCAGAGCCGACAGGCAGGAAGACTCGAGCACACAACTCGCGCTTCATTATAATATATAAAAAAGAACACCATGCGTGTCATGATGGCACATAACAGCTCGCGGCCGCAGATTACTCCGGGTCCCAGACCGCCCCATACCCCAAACATATTTTTATTGCAGATCTACATGAATCACACAAACGACCTATTTTGGATTCAAAACGGCGAATTTCGCCGAAAGGTGACAAGTTTGCATCCCTGTTAAATAAAGTATATCTATTTATCTAATGAGCTAAACCGTCGCTTAGCGTTAGCTGCTAACTGAAGAACCCCATTCATTTCAATGGGAAAAATGCAACGTCACGGTGAATGGCGATGCTAATAAGCAAGTTAGCATATATTTAAAACCATATCTATAGTAAAGAGCACCAACCCAACAACTCAAACTGTCTTAAAGACAACTGGTGTAATAAATTACTAACATAAAGTCAGCTGAGCATTACAAATAAACTGTTACTCACCCAGAGCCGAACTGAAATAATAACTTTGGCTGTTAGTCAATAGCTGTTAGCCGATAGCTTTTAGACTTTAGCTGTTAGCCGATGTTGGCGCACATTTCAAGTTTTTTTGTGAGTTTCTTTCTTCTAAGATTACAGCTGTTGTGTTAAATAAGATAACTTCTGATTCGTGATTAACTGTAAGCTAAGCTAACAGGTGTAAATACACTTAATGAAACCTCTGCAGGTGTTTAATCCACTCACCTCTTCTTCTACCTCTTCTTCTCTCGGATTTGTCGGATTGCAAACAACTTAAAAGGTGCATACCGCCACCCAGAGCCCTAGAGTTAGAGCCCACGTCACATCTTCAGTTTTGGCGGCAGTTCTCCTGTTTGTCTAGAAGTCTTCTCAGCAGGGCTCTATAAATAGAGAATTACGGCAGATATGTAATATTTAATGCAGCCGAACCGTGTATTACAATGCCGTTATGTGATGACTTTCAAAGAGAAAAGCAAGCACACTCGGAATAAAGTATTATTGTATTTTTTAAAAACGTTTTCAGATTTCATATCACATAAACACCAAATCCCAGCATGCATTGCGGATAACCATCCAATCATCGAGCTGAGGATCTTGCCTACGTCTGTTTCCGGTTTCGTTTAATGACCGATGTATTTTGTTATACACACATTCCTTCACATTTACATTTTAATGTGCATTAAAATATTTCGTGAGGCCTTCTAACATGTTTTTAAATATAACTACGGTTGTAGTTGAATAGTTTGTAAATGAACATGAACCGAAGCTGTTGCTTGGCAACTCAATCGCAAAACGTCACGTCCGTTAATTCCACATCCACACGCACGGATTAACATCGATTTAATACATTAATGTAGCCTTTGTTTCTGCTAAAAGAGGTGTCGACCAGCTGGGGCAACAAGAAAATAGCCGTAATCGAGTGTGACTATTAAAAAATAAATCATTACGTCGGGGTAGCATTTGCTTGGTATTTCCGGTTATTTCTCCACTGGTTATCATGGGTTAACAATACCGTGTAGCTGTCACGTTTGAAGGGGACGAAATCGTGACATCTTCACGTCTCCCAGCATGGTAATCGTCACATGTTCACGTCTTGCCGTGATACCGGGTTGAGCGAGTTATGTGAATTAAAATCCCCACACCATATTACTTTGTCTTGCAGTGTACCCCCAAGCATCCTCTAATATACTTTGATCTAATTTCCCACATGGATTATAATAATTTACTATATCTATAGGTCCTCTATCATTCCATACCCTTATAACTATTGCTTCATGATCTGTACTTACATGCATAACTTTATAACTTATACCACTCTGTATGAATGTTGCAACTCCTCCCCCTCTGCCAGAGTCCCTATCTCTTCTAACTGCAGTATATCCCTTCACAATAAAATCCAGTTGTGGTTTCAGCCATGTTTCCTGAATACAAAGAGCATTAGGTTTCTCTCCCAGGTTGTCAATATATTTTTTGAACTCTTGTCCATTTGCAATTAAACTTCTAGCATTCCACTGCAGTACAATTAACACCATCAGGATGATCCAGTCCATGTCTGAGGTTATTGGACGTCATCATTTAGGATATCTTTCACATTTTCCCAGTGCATCCCTTTCACATCAAGGTACTTTTCAGCTGATTTGACAATTATTTTGATTCCTTTCATTCCGGCTTGTAGTCTGCGCTGAACAGTTGATAATCTCTGCCATCAATACAAACTTTTTTCCGAAATAAGGTCTGAGTCCCACCGGAAGGGGAGGGACTTCGCCTCTCTATTGCTAGAGAGGTAAGGAACAAGTAAGCTCCTCTCTCTCCCTGTTCTTCTTCGTTCAAAACAACTTCAATGTGCAAACCACCACCTACTGTCCAATAGTGTTTTTTGTTTTGTTTTTCCTCTTAAACTTCAGAAACGGCAATAAACAACCGTATTAACATTTGCATTGGAGGCATTTCATTATTTAGGTGAAACTTTTGTGCGTAAAGTTTTAAAAGATGCAGATAGTCTCTCCTTCATTGTGGCCCATTGATTATCGTTCCATGTGTTTTATAGATCTAATCTCATCCACCATCTTTGTTTGTGACGTAAAGGGTGAAAGAGTCACGTTTCTGAATCGGACACTGAGTGGATGCAGTCAGCCACTCGTAGTCTGATTCAGAGGGTTCCCTGTCAGTAATTTCCTATCTCTATATTATTATTATTTATAATGATTATTATTATGTATTTATTTCAACAAGGACCATGCATAGGTGTGTGTTGTACAGTGTGTGTAGGTGTGTGTAACAAATTAATGTCTAAAACTCTTCCAAATGGACCCAGTTAATATATTAGAAAGCACAATATAATACTAGTATTGTAACACATTTTTATTAACATTTATAAAAATCAAATAATTAACAGTAACGCAGTGTCTGTCTGTCTGTCTGTCTGTCTGTCTGTCTGTCTGCCTCTCTGTCTGTCTCTGTCCCTCTCTGTCTGTCTGTCTGTCTGTCCCTCTCTGTCTGTCCCTCTCTGTCTGTCCGTCTCTGTCTGTCTGTCTCTGTCCCTCTCTGTCTGTCTGTGAGAAAGACATGTCTTTGGCATTTTTGTAAGCATTCTATGAATGCTTACAAAAATGCCAAAGAAATGTCTTTAAATAATTAAAGAGGACTTTTTTCCCCTCCACATTTAGGTGGACTCCATCCCCAGTAAAATAATTTTGAATAATCTGTCTGTGATGGAGAAACAGTTTCCCGGTAGGGAGGTGAATTGTGTCCTTCTTCCTCCGACACAATTCGTGGGAACCTGCGGTTGGTGTCCCGCACCGTACCCATCGTCCTTTGGTTGTCCACCAGCCGGGGGAGGATAGAGCAGACGGCCAACATAGAGAGGCTCTGCATGGCCGTGCTGGATCCGGTCAATGAGGGCCTCCATTTGTCCCACGATGGCTGCTGGGGACAGTCCGGAGGCCACATCATCGGTTCCGATGTGCACGACCACCAGCGCCTCCCCGGTCACCCGATCAAATTTCCAGGCGTGCTGCTCCAGGCTCCGCGCGAGGAATGTGTCTGGGTGGACATATGCAGCAGTCAGGTGTGGTATCTGCTCTTCAACACCCCTGGCATATGGAGGCTGTGAGCAAGTACACTGGGAGCCCTACAAACACAGAACAACCGTTACTAAATAGTGTACACACAAAACCAGAGCTTCCCTTAGAAATGTTTTGTAGCCGGTAACATCGACAAAATGAGAAAAAAGTGCAGGTCAAACGTCCTTCTATGGTATTTATAGAGTTTTAAAAGAAATTGATAACGACTCTATATTAAACAATCTAATTATGCTAGATTAACTACATGATTCAAAAGTGTACAGTAACTTTTGGATAATAAACGGAGCCTGTGTTTTCCTCTCTCCTGACAGCGCGTCAGTATCTCATGCAGCTGGCTGATCCAGAGTAATGAGTGAGCCGACAAGTGAAGAATAAACATATTTATAATTAGTTTAGCTAGTTCCAGAGGTAGATAGAATAGCTAAGTGTGTTACTTCTAACTTAAACAATATTAAAGCAAGCCTACCTTTTCTCACAGTGAAGGTCTTCTCTGCTGCAGTGTAACGCACAAGTTCATCTGAAAAGATCATTTCAACCATTAGTTTAATAAATAAATCATATTCTAACAGGCAGCGCTAAAGCAAGCACACAATGAATGAATAACAAGTAGCATTAATCTAAATTCGGCCATTTACCATAGGAATAAATTTTTTCTCTGTCGCTCTTGTCTTCATGCAGAATAAGAGGCAGAAGATGCAAGTCCTGTTTAAATACTGCATCATTTTCAAATCGAGCACATCAGCCAGCCAGACACAAGTATTAAAAAAAGCCAATCAAAAACGGCTATTAAAACTGTTTTTTTTCAAACTACTATTCAAATCTATAGACCTTTATCAGCCCTGAGCAGTTTACAACGAATCAAAAAGAAATACTGACGTTAATAAAAATAAAATGTCAAGCAATTTATTAATGAAAATGCAATAGTTCCTTGAGTTTATATGAAGGCAGATTTTTGAAGCAGTTATGGAAGTTTTGGGCGAAAGGACTGTATTTTACAAGAGGCGTTTGAACGCATCATAGCTTCACTTCCTGTGAACGTTAGTTCTGTCATCGCCATCAAACGAGTAAGTTGCTCTTCTTGACTTTAGCTTCGCAGCCTTCTCTTGTGCTTAGTTATGTATAGCATGAAATGATAATGTGTAGTTTATTTTGGCGCTATTGTCATGTTTAAGCAGATAAACCCTGCAGCCCCCGTTAGCGGGGGATACAGGTTTTTTTCGTCACGGAACTGTGTCTCAGAGCTGTTCAAATGTAACAACCTATTATGTGTCATACTCAGTTAACGGGAAGAAGAACTCAGCTAACTGACGAACTAAACTAATTAAGTTGTAATGTTGAATCTGTGCTCGTTTCCTCAGCCTGCATCAGTGAATATGAGCCTCAGAGACATCTACTCACCCTCTTCTATGACTCTGACCCCTCGTTCAGGCGGCGGTCCTTCAGCTTTAACGTCTTTGCTCTCCTTCACTTCTTTCTCCACTTTCACTTCTATCTCCACCTTCACCAGCTCCTCCTTCACTTATCTCACCCACTTCTTCTCCACTTCACCTCTTTCTCCACTTTCACTTCTATTCACTTCACTTCTCTCCACCTTCCTTACTTATCTCCACCTTCACTTCTTTCTCCACCTTCATTCACTTCTTTCTCCACTTTCACTTCTATCTCCACCTTCACCAGCTCCTCCTTCACTTCTTTCTTCTTCTTGCTCTTCACACCCTCCTCATCGTCGTCTTCGTCCTCTGAGCTGGAGACGTTGTAGAAGCGCTTCAGGTCCTCGGTGGAGGTTTGGTTGATGGGTCGGCCTCTCTTGTTCACCGTGTATTTCTCCGTGAAGCGCTTGTCATGAAACATGGACTGGAAGCGCTTGTCGATCTTATTGCGTTCTCTCTCGGGCATCTCCCAAAACCTGGGGTCCTTCTGAAACCCGGAAGGAAAGGAAACGCTCATCGCCCGCCCTTCTTATTGGACGACATGGTGGCAAACTGAACGTGTCACCTGACCAATAGAGAAAGGACATATTGTTGGATAGTCACATGGACAACAAGCACTACGCTTCTTTCTTATATCATTGTATGAGCGTCTTTATCACAGAAGATTGTGTGTATTTAGTGCACCAAACGTTCAAGCTTATGATTATATAGCCGTACATTTTAAGATGTTAGCATGTTTTAATACACATATCCTGAAGAGGTTATTGGAAAAAATTATTGATTTTGGTAATGGTGAAAAACTAGACAACAGTGATTCAAGAACTGAAAATATATGTATGTTTCTATAAACCTTGTTATAAAAACAAGCTAGCTAGTATTGATTATCCTCTACAACGGTTAATGTACTGAAGATTAATTGAGACAATCAATTAACAGTTTAGGTCACTCCAGAACAACGTTTCTTAAACCTATGTTTTGCAGCTTTTAAATTGTACTGTTTTTAGAATTTGGTTTGGAAATAATTAAGCAGTCTTGCTTGTCATGAGTTTTAAACACCCCTCTTTTACATTTAACAAAAAAACTATTACTTGAAGAAAATAAGGGGGGGGGGGGGTATATTCAGATTAACCTAAATAAAAGTAGCAATACCACAGTGTAAAAATGGTTTGTTACAGGTGAAATCCTGCATTCAAATATACTTTAAATAACTGAAGTAAGAGTACTTGTTTTGCCCAAATCAGTATCATATATAATAGTATGCATGCAACATTAGTAAAGAACACATTCATTACTAAAGTGTAGTACTTAACTAAATGTATTTAAACCACTTATAACGGTTAAAACAGTCATTAGGTATTACTGAAGCTGTGACTGGATTATTTTCACAAATAGAATTAAGGTTTCACAAATCTCAAACTGTGTTATAAAGAATCTTTAGAGTCTCTGGGATAAATCCAGTCCAGATTTGATGAGTCTAGTTATAGTGGTTTTCGATCAGGACCTGGTTTTATGTGGACTAGATGTAAAAAAAAAAAAGCAGCAAAACCTCCCCTTTTTTTGTATTTTCACAAATAGAATTAAGGTTTCACAAATCTGAAACTGTGTTAAATAAAGAATGTTTAGAGTCTCTGAGATAATCCAGTCCAGATTTGATGAGTGTAGGTATAGTGGTTTTCGATCAGGACCTGGTTTTATGTGGACTAGATGCGAAAAAAAGCACTGAAATCTGCCCTTTTTTTTATTTTCCACAAATCTGAAAAACTGTGTTATAAAGAATCGTTTAGACTCTGGGATAATCCAGTCCAAAATAAATCTGCTATGCAGCGATTTAAGAGGTTCAAACACGGAGGATTGTTCGCTCAGCGCTGTAAATTCAGTTGTCAGTCAACATGTAAACAATATGTCCGAAACACTGAATATGAACAGTAATGGCGGGGCAAAACCAGACAGCAGCTGACAAATACACACAACACTGAGCATGTATATGTAACAATATAATGATAAATGTGTTTGAAACATCGTTTATAAAAACAACAATAATCGTAAAACTGCAGCCATACCTCTCTGGTCTTCCACTACAAGCGTTTTCCTCTTCTGTGCCCTTTCTATGTTCCCGCCTTTATATATACAGTCTATGGTTCCCGCCCTCGTTAGTAAGGAAAGCGAAGTGGGACAAAGGAGGGAAAACGCGCACAGAGAAATTATATGGCGATACTATGGAGAGGCGAAGTCACGCCCATCTACTTCCGGACCATGGGACCCCGGAAGCGAAACATTTACATTGAATTCAATGGAGAGAGAACACGTATCTTTTGATCCCGTTTGAATTGTGCCACGAACTACACATATAATCTTTGTCAATCTTAAACAATCATTTCCATGTCAAAAAAGTCACATTTTGTCTTAAAACTGCTGAAATATAAGACTATGAAAAATACGCTACTACAAAGACTACAAATCCCAAATCCCATTCTGGGTCGCGTAAGTGATGTCACAGGCATGCTCGGTGATTTATAATAAAACTCGTAATTAAGCAAGCGAAGAAGAAGAAGATCTCATAACTGATTTATTCCCTCCAATAAATTATAGATCGCTAAAAATAAATTAACTTTTACAAGATGCCTGTGTGCTTTGTACCAGGTTGTAGTCATAAAAGTGATCATACCACTTGCTCCTTCTATCGATTCCCGTCTGATGAAAGGACCAGGAGTCGCTGGATCAGACATATCAGGTAATATCATAGGTAATATACATGTTGTGCATGTTCATGTGCATAGTCAAGTTAGCTACCTAGCTAGTAGCGACGAGTAGCGAGCACGTTAGTTAGCATTACATTACTTAGCCTTGTCATTTTTAGTAGCCTTACCATGAAGTTATTATTTTATTACATGAAGTAAACCAAAATGTTAAACAGTAACCAAACATGATGGTAAGTATTTCGTGAAACATTTGAAGAGTAGCCTACTGCGCCCTCCACGGGTGCTAAGGAAGCAGTTCAGGGAGAGTCGAAGGCAGGCATGGAGCTTTGCATGACATTCTTCTGGACGTGTTTCATTGTGATGACAATCTGTTTGTTGGAAAGACAGTCGTTGTGTGCTTATTGAGAGAAAATTGTTAGAAGAGATAATTATTCAAAGTGTTGTTACTTTAAAGTGTTGTTACTGACCTTTTATCTTTTATTTTCTTTACCTCACCTGTAACTGCTGAGACGTTGAGGAACATGCACACTGACCTACTCTGGCAACCTGATTTCCACTGTACGTAATAGTATTTGGTTCTGGTATATTATTTATATACATCATAGGCACAATGCACCCCCCAGAGACACACATGTATTGAGTGTGATATTTTGCATAGGTTATGTGAAATCATCTTTACATACTAGAAAACTGTAGGAGCGGCAACTTGTTTTGAAATTGAATTTTTAATATCCGATAATAAAGTTGATCTGTTTTCTTTATTCTTCTCTCTTCCCAGCTCCATCCATCACCATTCTCTGTTCCTGCAGGTCCTGCTTGCTAATCAATGCTCATATTTTTTTACACAATTACAAATAAAGTCATTGTATTGTATGACATGAAGTTGTGCTTCATTCGGAGTCAATAATAAATTAATTCTGCCTTCAACTGCGCAATGATTGTGGACTGCACCGACATCCATGTAGCTGCCCCCCAGTAAGATGAACCAAGCAAAAGGGTCACCATCATGCCCAAGGACATCCAGCTGGCCCGCCCGGAGAGAGGGCTTAGACTGACCTGAGACCAGCACACCCAAACACAACGGCTCTTTTAAGAGCCACCTACAGTTTCAAAGAGTTGCAATCCTACGTTATTATAATGATTAAACTGGTTCATGTATCACTTAGTTTACTGAACCGTGATGAATGAAAGAAATTAGTGAGGTAGTGGTTTACTGAAATTACAAAGACATTAATATAGAGTAACAGGTCAGTGTAAACACAAGCTTCTGTCAATTATGGATCATTCAAACTATTTATATAAAAATATGTAATAAAGTTCTAAAACAAGTATTCGGTATATTCCTTGATAGCTTTTGGAGAAGGTTGTTTTTAAGTTTACTAAAATCTATCGTTTCAACTGTTTCACTTTATAAAAAGGGAACAGGTGAGTAGAGCATCATTGAGTTTCTTATTCTGTCAGTAAATTATCCAAATGAATGTTTTTCATTATTTTAGTCAACCCTAAACAAATTGATTGTACCTTTTAATGATGACCTTACATGGTCGGCAAAGTTAAATTAACTTCAGAAAATCAAATCTGTTCTGAGAAAAAACTAATAAATGTTTAAAGATAGGAACTTGCCATCCCACTGAAAAACAGTCCGTAGAGATGTTAAGGCGTAGTTGTAGTTCAATCCAACGTTTCATTTGGATTCATTTGACAACAGTCAACTATTTTCATAAAGAATATATATATTTTTCAA